ATCAGGGCTGCAGCTCCTCCCGAGGGGCAGCGCAGGGCCAGCTCCAATCTCTGCTCTCTGGGAGCAGGGACAGGGACCCAGGGAATGGCTGGAATGTCAGGGGGAGTATCAGTAAAATGTTCTTCTCCCAGAGGGGAGGGGGGCACTGACCAGGCTCCCCAAGCAATGGTCGCAGCCACTGGCAGGGCTGCACAGGCTGCTCCGTGCAGGGCCAGCAGTTTGATTCTGATCCTTGTGAGTCCCTTCCAACTCAGGATATTCTGCAACTCCTGTTTCAGGAAGGTAAAATTTATTTTTATCTGGACATTAACTGCTCCACCACTCTGGTTATATGGGTTTATTTACACCGTGTACCCCAACCCAGCCTCTCCTTTTGCCTCTGACACCCTTCCAGAGGAGCTGGAGCAGAACACAACATGCTCCCACAGGGTAAAGTCTTCAGTGGGCACTGAAAAAGAACTTCTTACAGTACAATAAGTGACAATTTCAATGTATGTTGCAGTATATGCTGTCTGTGAGCACATATTTACTGTGTTAGAGCTGTAACTTAAGAACACACTGGAAAAGGTTCATTTGTGGGACATCGACAAGATTGCTGATGGAGACGTGTGAAGATGCTGATGACAACTTGTGAATTTTTCTATATTTCCTCACAATCTGAAGCACTGCAAGGAGGGCACCTGACACCCCGTAATGTGGGACGGTGCGAGGCGCTGCCCTGGGGGATTGAGGGACATGATCAGGAGTTGTTTACCATCCCCTGAGGAAGAGCACAGCTGATGAAGGGACCTGATGGATTGAAAATGAAGGGAAAATCCCTCAGGTGCCCCAGCCCTCTGCCAGGCTGGCAGTGCCTGTGGCAGCTGGGGCAGAGTGTGCAGCCCCCACTGGGGAGTTGGCTCCTAGAGAGGAGATCACAGAATCACGGAATGTTAAGGGATTGGGAGGACCTTAAAGATCATCCAGTTCCAATGGGCAGGGAAACTTTCCACTAGATCACGTTGCTCCAATCCCCATCCAGCCTGGCCTTGGACACTTGCAGGGATGGGACAGCCACAGCTTCTCTGGGCAACCTGTGCCAGGACTTCACCTCCCTCACAGGGATGGAATTTTTTCTGTATATCTAATAAAATTTCCCCCACTTCCAATGAGTACCCATTACTCCTTGTCCTGTCCTTAGGACAGGCTGGATGGGCTCAAGGTGGCACCGGGACCGCCATGGTCCCTCATGAGGGGACAGTGACACACCCAACATGGCGCCCTGACACACCCAACATGGCGGCGGCCGCGTCCCGCCCGCCGGCCGCGTTCCCGTCCCTAGGACAGGCTGGACGGGCTCAAGGCGGCACCGGGACCACCATGGTCCCTCATGAGGGGACAGTGACACACCCAACATGGCGCCGTGACACACCCAACATGGCGGCCGGCCCGTCCCGCCCGCTGGCCGCGTTCCCGCCCTTCCCTCCTCCCATGAGCCCCCGCGCGCGTCCCTTCCGGGCACACCAAGATGGCGAAGCCGGGTGAGTGCGGGGGGATCAAGGTGACCGCGGCGTTCCCCTCCTTCCCTCCCTCAGCCCCGCGCTGACCGGGCTCTCTCCCTCTCCCTGCCGCAGTTCTCCTTAAGGACACGAAGCTGATGGATGTGAAGCTGGGCCAGCTGGGCAGCTGGCTGGCCATGAGGGACTTCACCCCCGGCGGCATCTTGGGGGCCATTCGGAGAGGTGAGGGGGCTGCGGGGGAGGCCCGGAGGGTGCGGGACCCTCATTCCTCCTGACGGAACCAGGGAAAATCGCACACAAGAATCCCTGCCTGCCAGAGAGGATGTTGTTGCCTGAGGGAACGGTGTCTGGCAGCGCAGGGGCTGCTCCGTGGCCAGTTCTGCCTTCCCAGAGCAGCTTCTCCTGTAACATCTCGTTTTTCCCTCTGTAAATTTATTTTTCGTGGGGTTTTATGCACTGGATGTTTGTTCTCAGTGTTTCTTCTTGTATAAAGGGGAAATGGGATGCCCTTAGTCCTGAACCCGTTGGCTGGAAATTTTGGGGTTTCACAGCATCACAAGTAAACAAAAAAGAATTAAAATGCAGTTGATCCCTAGAGATGGTAAAAGAGGAGACAGAGCCCTTATGGATCACTTGGGCCCAATGTCATTTGCTGTAGATACAAATGTCATTCAGGTAGATTTAAACACTAGAATGTCAACTGCAAGTGTCTGCCTTTGATAATACATGTATGCATGTATATAATGTATAGAAGAGTTAGATAATTCCAAAGCAGCCACATTTAGGAAAAAAAAAATGGAAAATTGGGTTTTTTCCCTTTTGTGGTTGTTTGGCTTTTTTTTTTAAGGCTTAGGTCTATTAACTTGGGATCACCTTGCTCAACCAACACACAGGTTTGCCTCCTCTCAGACTTGCTTCTGAGACCTTCAGATGTTTCATTAGAACCAATTTTCTGAAGTTTTGTGAATCCAGGCTGCTTCTTTCTCTCACAGGGTAACAAACAACTCATCTGGCTGCTCTGAAACATTTTCCTCCTCCACAGGTCATGAGAGATACTACAACAAATACATCAACGTGAGGAAGGGGGGCCTCGGGGGTCTCTCCATGGTGCTGGCTGGGTATATCATCCTCAGCTACATGTGGAGCTACAGTCACATCAGTAAGTAAAAGCCATGGATGAGTGTGTGCAGGGCAGCTTGGAAGGTTGCCTGGGGGATAAAAACAATCACCTGCTGCTGCTGCTTTTAGAAATAAAATGAAAGATTGTTGGCAAACTAACTTCTTTTAGCCGTAGAAAACTTGAATGCTGAGTTTTTTCTTGGCAACGAAGAAAGTTTAGACCTTGGTGCCTGTCTGCCCTGGCAGCACCTAGGAAATACATGCTCAGGGGTTTTTCAGAATGCTTTCTTGCCTGGAATTTCAGGTATGGTGGGGTTTTTTTCTTGAGAGTTCAGCAGAATTAACTTGCTGTGCTTTGCTGCAGAGCACGACCGCAGGAGGAAATACCACTGAAACACCCTCAGAAGGTGAAGGTGCAGCTCCTGGCACAGCCACCCTGACAGAAGACATCAGAACTATGGATATTAAACCTGTACTCTTGTGACCAATAATAAAGTGCATACACTTTACATTTCCTGAGCTGACAGTCTCCTAATTGAGTTGTTAATTGTACTGTGCAAATAAATTTGTATTCTGAGAGTTTCACCCCTCAGGGTAAGTTCAGAGGGAAAGCAGCTGCTCCTTGGGCTGTATTATGAACTGGGGGAACTGTTGGCAACTGATTCCTGTTTGATAAAAATGATAGCACAGGATTGCTTCTCCCTGGCCCTTAGGGACAGGCTGGACAAGGGGCTGAGAGGATGTGTTTTGATTTGAAAGAGCATCTGAGCTTTGTGTGCCCTGTGGGTGTTTCTGGTTCTCAGTCAGGCTTTCACCAGGGGCTGCAGGTGTTTTGGGCAGTTTTCCATCATTGCAGAGCACTGAGATGAGGCAGGGCTGCAGCTCTCCTCCTATCACTGCCTCAGGTAACCCAAAATTTCCATCAGAACTCCTTTCACTGCCAAAACTGGGAAGTAATTTTGAGTGGGAATAAGCTTCAATCCATCAAAATAAAGAAAAGGAAAACTTTCCTTCTTAAATGCAGCTTAAAGGAGCATCTGAGGGTTGGCCCCAGCTCTGAGCTTCCTCATTCCCCAAAATCACACCAGCACCTGGAGCTGGGCACTGGTGCCCACCTGAACATCCTTGTCTGAACAGCAGGGAGGGTGTCCCCACTGCTTGAGGGACATGAACAATCTCCCAAGAGCTTCAGTGGTTAGAGGAAGGCTTTCAGTGTTGGAAAACTGGTACTGAAGCCCAAAAGCTCCTGAACTCAGTGGGGAAGGTGATCAGACACTGGAGTGTTTTGGTTTAGCTCCCCTTCCACATGCCCAGTTACAAACAGGTCACAGCTCAGCCTGAGGGGGGCACAGAGTGTTATCAAAGTGTCTGATGGTCTGTGACTCCAGACTTGAAACTTACAGTGAAGTAAGTGCAGTCATTGACACCAACACAGGCTCTGGTCACTTCTCTTAATCCAGCCACATTTACCTTGTTCTTCAAGAAAAATAAATTCACAGCCAGCTTTTGCCATCAGTACATTTCAATAAAAACAAAGTATAAAGGCAGGCAGCAAATGAAGAGATGGGGTAGAATCAATAAGGCTCACATTGTGGGTATTTTTTTTCTTTTAATTCACATTTTGTCATTGGCCCTTTTGAAATAGTCATCTCAAAAATACACGGGGTCTGCGTTGAAAAAAAAAAATGCTTTCAGAAGGGATCTCTACCAACACTTTAAAAGCAGTGTTCCATAAGAATAAACAGCTCCATTTCTGCTCTCTAGTGTGGGAATACCTGCTCAGTGTGAGCTGTTTGATGGGGCTGAGACAAGGCTCTTCTATTCCTACTCCAAGCCGTGCTCTTGTCCCTCCTGTCTGCAAGAGGGAACTGAGCACAGCTGCAGCTTTCCTATAATCATTGCTCCTTATTGTCTGGCTAACCAGAGAGATGCCAATTTATTCTCCCCCTGATCAGTTCTCTCCCAGGAGATTGATTTCTAACCTTCAGTACAGCAAGAAGCACAGAAACAAAGTGAGTGGACACAGGTTTTACTGCCTGATGTACGTGAGGGGTTTTGTCAGCCACCAGCACAAGCTCACCAGGCTGACCTGGAAACAGGACTTGGCTTTTGAAGAGCTACAGGACAGCAGAATCCCTGCTTCCTCACTGAGGAGAAGGCATTGCAAGTGTTAAGTTTTCCCAGTCAGTCTTCCTGCTTCCACAGGGAGGGCTGAAATGCTGCAGATTCTCCAAAGAGAAGTGGCAGAAGGAAAATACTTTAAAGAAACACTGGCCTAAGATGTGTTTATGTGGAGTGCTGCACCAGTAAGGGCTTGGTTTATCTACTGGCTTTTACATCTACCTTTCATAAGGGCTCAATGAACACAGGCGGAGGCCAAAATTGATTTTAAAAAGGTTAAAACTTAAAAAAAGTTGGGAACAATTACAAAAATGTTGCTTAGCAGCAGCCAGCCTCTGACCAGTTCTTTCAGTAATGGCATTAAAAAAACAACCTGATTAATAGCTCCAGACATTGTGCTAGGCAGAAACCTTTCCTCAGTGGTAACAGCTCCCTTGCACCTTCCTGCTGCTCCTTCACTGTCCACTGAGAAAGGCCAGGTGTCCTTTGGTGCATCTGTTGGCATAATGACCTTTTTCACCACACTGAAACAGAAAGAGACAGGAATTATTGCAGAGATACAGCTCCTTCCTCCTAGCTGCCTTTATCAAGGCACCCAGCAAGTGCTCCCATTTGGAAGCTTTTCCACACGTGGCAGATGCAGCATTTAGCAGGTGCAGTGAAACAGGGCGTCAGGAGGGACAGGATTTATGGGCTGCTACCACGCCTTGGAGCAAAATCTGCTTCTATGCTGGGAGTAACCTGATGCCATGTTATTCTAAGGCATTTCCAAGGAGAGAACCCTCAGCACAACAAGGAGGAGTTCAGCATTAGAGGCTTCTCAGACTACTCCACGTGAGCACCACCATATCCATGGGTACTCTCCTGATCTTCATGAATAAACAAAGAAAAGCACCTCTGAACTTGAGAAAGTCACAGATTCGTGACTTTGCATCTTGAAGCTACTCAAACACAGAGAAATGCCAGTATCTGGTGCAACAGCCTTCTCCAGATCTGTAATTTACTTGCAGATTAAAGAGGCAGCTATTAAAGGTTTTCAGTGAAATGGATTCAGCTATTTAATATCCCTCTCCAATCACAGTGACTTTCACCCAAACAAGCACCTAAGGCTCAGAGTGGACATGTAAAATGTTGTAACTGTCAGGGCTAAAGGGACAGGAAGATTCTTTGTCCTTTCTAGTGACTGTGTCTTTTGTGGAAAAACAAGGAGATAGAAACTTGATTGTGCCCAAATTTTCCTGGCGCTCCTCAATGAGCAACCACGGTGAAAAACTCATTCCTTGCTTTGACACCACAGGGTGCATTTACAGCTCAAACACTGAGCAGGCTTTGCAAGCCTAATTTGTTACTTTCAATGACCCTCCAGGAGAAGAGAATCTACACCCACCAGTGTAAGCAAATCAGCTTATGAGACAGAAAGTTTCTATTAACTCTTATTTTCAAATGTGCAGCTTGGCAGTCTCCTTCCAGTCTTTGGGGCAAGGTTTTTCCTGTTTATTAGCAGACAGCAAAGTCCTACAGAATTTGTCATTGTCACAGCAAGAGAGCGACCTCAGAACTCAAGGCCAATTCCCACAGCTGCATCCAGGCACCATACAATGTCTACTGAGCAGAGCTCAGAATTCATGGACCTTTTTACACTGTGAAAAAGCCTTTTTGCCTTCCCTCCTGAGCCCTCCCCTCTGCATTACCTTGTAGCAGGTGACCTGCTCCAACGGCCGGGGTCCTCTGTTCCCACTGTTGTTATTTTGAGATTGCATGACTCCAATGACTTGGGGTGTCCTCTGTTGGGTAGGAGAAGAGTTCTGACTCGTTAAGTGCATCAAGGATAAAGATCTTTGTGGTTTTTGTTTTGTTAAGAAGGGAAAAGAGCACCCCATATGTCAAATGATCAATTTTCCTCCAAATCTGTGTGTGGGTGCTCTGCCAGCTGGAGCACCAGAAAGAAGAAATCAAGCACTGAGCCTTACAAAGCCCAGTGATCCTGTTTTTCTCTGGAAAGCAGATTTGGAGAGTAGGTTTAGGCTGCTAAAATATCATTGCCATCATGGAGGGATGTCACCCTGATTACAAAACCTGGCAGACTGCTGCACACCACATCTGATGTGTTTCTGTGTAGCGTGGGAGTGTTCTGTGACATGATCTCCATGTAAAGTTGGAACAATTGTGGGGTTTCATCACTACAATGGCACTCAGGGTTGCTCGCTGTTTAATTCTCCCTTCCAAACCCAAGAGCCTGGGTGCCCAATTTTGACCACTTGACAACCTATTCTATTTTAAAGCACTGTGGGAGAGGTTTGAGGGTGGCTGTGTGGGGAGGCAGGGAATCTGGGTACCTTTTGCTGTGTTTGTGTTGGCTGAGGCAGTGGTGGTTGCTCTGTGGTTCCCATTGGCAGTTCAAACCGAGGGCTGGTTTAGATGGAAACAAGAAAATTGATTCTCAAATCATATGCCAACATTTTATCATCAGCTCAGTCAAGTAGCTCCAAACAACAAAACATTCAGCCAGTTAAATTTGGCTCACAGGAAACAAACCTCCCCCTCCCCACTTCTCTTTACATATGTGTTGCATATCCCTCTGCCTTCTGGAATATAAATCCACGTGATTCCACTGCACTGATGGCACCTAATCACCATGCCAGTCTCACTGGGAACTCCCTGGAGAGGCCCTGCCCCATATCATAGACTGGTTTGGGTTGGAAGGGATTCACAGCTCATACAGTTCCAACCCCCCTACCACAGGCAGGGACACTTTGAACTATCCCAGGTAGCTCCAAGCTCCATCTAACCTGACCTTGGACACTTCCAGGGATGGGGCAGCCACAGCTTCTCTGGGCAACCTGTGCCAGGGCCTCCCCACCCTCACAGGGAAGAATTTTTTTCTAATTCCTAATCTAAACCTACTCACTTTCAGTTTGAGACCATTCCCCCTTGTTCTGTCACTACATGCTTTTGTAAATACTTTTTCAACCCTCAAATCAGTAAAAATTTGGCCCAGCTAAACACTGGCAAATCTCCAAACCATTGGGAAGCACGGGAGCACCCTCATTTGACATGTACCAGCCCACAAGGGAAACACAAGGCTGCAGGGCAGGCCTGGAGCATACTCACTGCATGAATTTACAGGCAGGGCCCTCTGGACAGAATCCTACCAGGTAATTCACACAAATGACTCTCCGAGTGTGCCGATGTCTGCACAGGGGACCTGCAACAGCACAAAGCTCAGCAGTTCACATTCCATACAGCCAGACCCCAGCAGAACGTGCAAAGATGGAACAGCAACACTCCCCCCTTGATCTGCAGGCACAGGAACAGGAAGTGTGGGAGGCACATACCGTGTTTGCAGAAGCCTCTGTCATACCAGGGACAGTCTTTGATCTTTGACTCCGGGTCAATGTGCAAGAATGGACATTCCTTGTTACTGCATTCCCCTGTACCAAAGGCAAACACACTTCTCAGTCAATTGTGCAGGTCTGAGATCAAAATGACTCTCAAAATGTTACCTGGATCATGTAGCTCCCACAGAGCTGTTACCAACATTTTTAAGTTCAGGCACAACAGCCTCACTGCCTGCCTTAACCTCCATGAAGAGCTCCAAGGACTCACCCCTGGTCAGCCAAGTTCTACCAGACTGGATGTTTTATGTTTTTAAAAACAATGAGGGAACTAAATTTGAAAGAGCAGTCATGGTAACAAAACCCAAACATTTAGTGCACCAGAAGTGTGGAGAAACTACAAATTGCACACTAACCTCAATCCAAGGAAACCTACAAGACTGTAAGTTTCTGGCACCAAGTTGCCTCATTATGTCCAGATCTCCAGAGCTGGAAAGCAAGTGCACAAAAGTTTTGCACACCCATGCCCTCTGCTGCTCATCAGCTCCCCAAAATCAGAGTCATGCAAAGACCAGCTGCTCAGCCTACTCATCTCATACCCAAAAAAAAAGAACTTAAGGCAAAAAAAGCAGTAAAAACAGCAGCTTCCCCCCTCTTCCTGCAAGGGACAAGCAGTCAAGTGAAGACATCTAGAATGCATCACAAATTTATGTGGATAATAAGGTGAAGCAGATCTGGAAAAATGTCAGTCTAACATCAACCACAGAAGAATGTAATGCCATGAGGAGGGACCTTCTTCAGACTCCCACACCTGCAGGAGCTGCTTACCAAATTTGGAGTAGAAATAACACTCAGGCATCTTGGTCATGTCATACTCGTGCAGGAACTCGCACTGGTCTCCCTTTTTGCACAGTCCTCGTAGCCAGTGTTTACAAACAACTGTCTTTTCCCCACTGATGTGTCTGAATGGGCACATGCCTCCTGTGGAAGGGTGGGAGAAGGGAAAAAGGAACAATTAAAGTGTGTCACACAGGGCAACAGCAACCCCTCTGCAAGAGGGGTTTCAGAAAACATCACCTATGATTTTAGCCTTAAGCAATAACAGCAAAACAGGGAGTTCCAAAACAGCCTTGTGATACCCTCTAATGAGCTTCACAACAAAGTCTTCAGCTCTTAATCCTGGAAACTATAAACTACAGAAACTAACAGGCAGATCCACAGCAAAGACTGCTTATGGTGAGTTCAAACCTTCTTTTAACAGTAGCTCTGTTTATTTACTTCCCGGCTCCCTTAAAAAATACCATTATTTCCCAATTGCTGCAGATATTCCAACATCCTTCAGTTTCCTCCTCTATCTAGGTTATCCCCTCAGCTTTACAAAACAAGAGCACTATAATCACTGCTGGAAAATCTGTTTTCACCCCCCCCAATCCTGTGAGAATAACTGCCTTTTCCAATATTCCACACAACTTGCCTTTTCCACATGCCGCCTTTAAAAAAAACTCACAGACAGCTGCGCCCGATTCTGTGGAGAGAACAAGGAAACATTATTTATTTTATCAAAGCTTCATGGCAACCTTTAAAACATTTCCTGCCCTAGAAAGAAAATCTGATCTCCAACATCAAGAGAAAAGCAACATTTTGGTTTGGGGAATTTACTTTCCTGCGGGAGTTCCTTGTGAACGCCTGTCACTCAAAAATATCTGTTTTCTTCTTGAGGGATAGGAAAGGGAACTCGCAGGGAGATTTGGAGGTGCTTGTTTTGCTTTTAAGTTCTTGACTGGGTTTTCCTCTGCTGTTAAGTCAGTCATATCACAGAATATCCTAAGATGGATGGGACCCACAGGGATCATCAAAGTCCAACTGCTGAACCTTGTATTTGTAGTTATGGCATTAAAAGTCTTATATTTCTTTACCAGAAGTGCCTGAAACAACCATTAGCATGTTATCCCTTGCAGATCCTGACAAAGAGGAACATTCAAGGGAGTTAAACATAAGTTTAGTAGCCCTGCTAGAAAAATCCATCAAACTGTGAGTCTCCTGAGTCTGTGTCAGACTGAAGGAAAGATTTAAGAGAGTCAGCCATAGATATACCTAAAGCTGATTAATCTTCCCATCAAAATACCTCATCTACCAAAAGGGAATGAAAAAGGTAATAGAAAGTACTGTGCAGGAGAGTGATGTTTATTTACGGTAACATCCCAACTTTAATTCTCCAGCCTGGCTGGTAGTAACTAAGAATTTCGCTAAGTAGAAAAGACAAACATCTGGGTTGACAGAACTTCACGAGGAAAGCAGAAGCCGGGTGGATCTACGGGTAAGACCTGAGGAAGACGCTCAGATCCCTGCAAACCTCCCAGGCAGCCCAGCCCAGCCCTGCCCACCCTCCTCGGCCCCACGGCCCGGCCCGAGCCCCCCGCGGAGCAGAGAGCCCACACGCACTGTCCATGCCAGGGAAGGGGAGCGGCTGTGCCCCCAGCTGCTGCTCCACGGCCAGCTCCAGGTCGAACGTGATGTGATCCACGCTGGCGATGAGCTCTTGCATGGTGGCAGCTGGGGGCCGCCGGCAACGGGAAGGTAGGGGCGGAATGGTGGCGGTATTGGAGGCGGCGGGCGGGCGGGCCCGGGCGGGCCCAGCCCGGCCCGCTCCACTCCGCGCCGGCAGCGCCTGCAGTGAGGGGAGGCGGCGGCGGCAGCCCCGTGGCCGCCCCGCGCCGCCCGCCCGCGGAATGACGGGACCCACGGCGGGCACGGCCGCCCGGCGGGCAGCGCGCGCGCTCCGGCCAATCAGCGCTCGGGACACCCCAGCCCGGCGGGCAGCGCGCGCGCTCCGGCCAATCAGAGACTACCGGGGACACGCCCCTTCCGTGCGCGCAGGCCCCCTGGGTCAGGGGCGGGGTGAGAAGGGACGATGTGAGGGCAGGGGCGGGCCCGGTTTTGATCCCGGTCCCGCTCTCGCTCTGCAGCCGCTCGCTTCCGCGGACAGCGGGCACATCATGGGCTCCCTGCGGCTCCTCGTCCCCCGCTGGTGCCGCTACGCCTCCCCCGCTGTGCTGCGGGCGCGGTGCGCAGCCCCCGGGGTTGGAGCCGGGCAGGCGCCGCTCCTGTCCCGGTCCCCAGGCCAGGGCCCGCTGCCGGGCTGGAGAACGTGCGGCTCCTCCCAGGCCTCCTCCAAACTGCCCGGCAGCGACCCGAGAGAGATCCGTGCTGGCAGCTCCGCTGGAGCTACCGAGGAGCAGAAGGATGACGATGATGATGATGAAGGTGTGGAGTTCGGGACGCTGTCTGATAAATTTTCCTCTAGGAAATATTACCACAAAACCACAGCGCGCTTTCGGGATTTAAAGCTTCAAGAAGAAGGAGAAGAAGAACCAGAAAGAAAACCTCGACGTGGTCCTAAGAACACTCCATACTGGTACTTCCTACGGTGCAAGGCTCTCATCAAAGAGGACAAGGTTTGAGCCCAGCTCTTCTCTTGTTTTTAATAGCACTGATGAAAGATGCAGCTCTGACCAGCTCTCTCTCACTTGGTATCTTTTCAGAAAGAATTAAAATAAGGATTTCCTATAGAATCATAATAAAGCAGTTTGCGTTGGAACAGACCTTAGAGCCCATCCAGTTCCACCCCCTGCCCTGGGCAGGGACACCTTCCACTATCCCAGGTGGCTCCAAACCCTGTCCAACTTGGCCTTGGACACTGCCAGGGATCCAGGGGCAGCCACAGCTTCTTTGGGCAACCTGTACCAATGCCTCGCTTCCCTCATAATAAAGGATTTCTTCCCAATATCTAACCTAAAACTCTCCTCTGTCAGCTTAAAACCATCCCCCCATCCTGTTACCACATGCCCTGGTCCAAAGACCCTCTCCAGCCTTATTGTGAGTAGCCCCACACTTTGTAGGGCTTGCACTACAATCTGCCCACAGTTCATATATTAATATCCATTGTAGCTGATTCTCTTGCTGCCTCATGATGGATTTTTCTCATCCTTGTAGCTGGCAGAGGCTCTGGAGCTGTTTGAGGTGCAGATGCTGAAGGAGGAGCGTGTCCAGCCAGAAGAAGGCAATTACACTGTTCTCATTGGTGGCTGTGGCAGGGTTGGCTACGTGAAGAAGGCATTCAGGCTCTACAATGATGTAGGTTTAACTTCTCCCTCAAAATATTTTCTAAGCTAAAAGCATTTCAAGCATTTCAAGCATTCAGTCATGTTCCTTTGTCTCCAAAAGTGTTGGCACCTTCATAGCCTGAAACTCTTTAAAAAAAGTTAAAAAATTCAAGCTGTCCTTTTGCAAAAGGGCCAGTTCAAATCCTTCTTCTCTTCCTTCAGATGAAAAAACGAGGGTTAATCCCCACAGAGGCCACTTACACAGCCCTGTTCAACGCCTGTGCTGAGTCCCCCTGGAAGGACTCGGGGCTGCAGAGCGCCCTGAAACTGCGGCAGCAGCTGCAGAGCAAAAACCAGGAGCTGAACCTCATCACCTACCATGCCCTGCTGAAGGTCTGTGCCCTCTGCTCAGACCTCAGGATGTGCTTGGATGTACTCAAGGTAAATTGGTTGCTTTTCTCCTGTTAAACCTATTCTGTGCTGTGGTTAAAGCTCCTGGAAGTTGACATGTCGCATCGGGTTTTAATTTCATTTCCAGCAGAGATAATTATAGATCATGTTTCTGTTTAATTGGTCTTTATTGTTATACAGTGAAATTGTATGTACCAAATACAATTGGTATTGGTACCAAAGTCTAAGCTTAATTACCTGAAAGGAGGCAGCTTTGGCTTTAAAACTGGCTGGGTGTGTCCAAAACTTGTTACATCTATCCCCAGAAGATGAAGGTGATATTTGACTTCACCACACAGGGTAACTGGGAAGTTTAATGCTCTCTCTGCTCTTTTCAGGAAATTGTGCAGAAGGGCCATGTCCTCACAGCTGAGACCTTCAGCTTCCTCCTCATGAGCTGCATAAAAGACACCGAAAATGGCTTCCGATTTGCCTTGCAGGTTTGTCCTCCTGTTCTGAGAGAGGGGAACGTGCTGCTGTGTTTAACTCATCACCTGAACACATGGAAATAGCAGTGGGGTGGTGAAATGGGAGGAGTTCAGCTGCTCCTAGCACAAGTTCTGAAAACCAGACTTTGCTCAGGACATCTCATACATTGGTAAATAACCCTGGATGATCTCACAGGGCTCTCCAGCTCAAGGTCACTGTCTTTGTCGTGCTGTACTTTCACTCCTTCTCACACAGATCCCATTAACAGATGTACTTACAAGCTGCTAGATATGCTCCTGTTATTTAATATCCATCTTCCCCTCTTCAGGTTTGGCAGCAAATGAATAAGCTGGGAATCAAGGCCGACAGCCACACCTACAACCTGATGCTGCGTGCAGCCAGAGACTGCGGGATCGGCAACCCCGCTGTGGCCTCTAAGCTGCTGCTCAGCCCCCCTGAGAACTCAGCTCAGCTAAAGCTGCCACCTGGCAGGCAAAAGGAAAAGGTGAAAAATCAGAGGAAGAAGGGATCAGAGAGTGCTGCTGTCCAGCTGGATGTGGAAGCTATGGAAAAGCAATTGTTTCAGGAGAGTTCGGTGCAGCCCGAGGAGCGGATCCAGCCACAAAATGAAGATGTGGCTGGGGCTGGAGCAGAACCAGCTGCTCCTGACAGCCCCAGAGTCACTCACAGCAGGGCTGGAGCTTTGATGAGGAGAGCTCAGAGTGAGATGGAACTGGAACAGCCACACCCAAGCCAGAAGCTGCCTTTGTGCAACCTGCCCAACTTGTTGGATTCCAGGGTGGCTGACACAGCCGTGATTTCCCTGGGGACAGTGGCCACACCATCCCACAGACTGGCCCTGATGGGGGATGTGGAGGGATTCTTGAACAAAATGAAAGAGGACAATGCAGAGCCCAACATTAAAACGTTCACATTACTGGCTGAGCTGGTGGAACCCCAAAGCCCCTCAGAATCCTCTCTGCTGGCATTGGTGGATGATCATAAAGTAAAAGTAGATGTGACCTTCTTTAACACTTTAATAAGGAAGAGGAGTAAACTGGGAGACCTGGAGGGAGCAAAGGTGAGAGAAAAACCTTAGAACCAGCCTCATAACCACCTGATGTCTCAGGCTTCTCTTTTGCTGAGACCCATTTCTCTGTCCACAGTAGAAACTGGGATCTCAAGCCATTTCCCACAAGGTGGTGCTTGGGTTAATTTCTAAATATTTATGGATTCTGTTCTAGCATGTCCAGCTCCCTGTCTGGAAAGCTACAGTAAGAATTTTTGGGAAGTGATGCCAACACTTGTATCTTGCAGAGCATGCTGCCAGCTCTGGTGAAGAGGGGACTGTCACCTAACCTGCAGACATTTTGTACCTTGGCAATTGCCTGCCACAACCAGCAGGATGGACTGCAGCTGCTCTCGGATTTGAAGGTAATCAAAGAAAACTCCTCTGCTCCCTGGGGTCTGAGCTGCAGGAAGAGGCAAAGTGAAATGTTAATGCTTTTAAAACACCTGCTGAGGTTTTTGTGATGAGTGGTTTTGTTCTTTTCCCAAAAGAGCAGCTCCAGAGTAGCTGGAGTTCAGTTGGTCTGTCTTAGCTTGTGCTGGCACTGCACAAGCTGCTTCACAGGTCCTGTGATGAGAACTGTGATAGAGCTGTGCTCATTGTGTCAAAAGTGCCTCTCTGCCTTTTCCCCTGCAAGTCCTGCACTAGTCAGCAGATGAACTTGTTTAACCATAGCATGTGTTCTTTCCAGAGGTCTGGAATAACTCCCAACAAGTACATCTACAGCAGCCTGATTGCTGCAGCTGTGAGGCAGCTGGATTACAGTTACCTCACGGAGATCCTGCGGGACATGAGGAACACACAGGTGCCTCCCAATGAAGTCATCATCCGGCAGCTGGAGTTCGCAGCGCGCTACCCTCCCAAATTTGACAGGGTAAGGAGCCACCACTGGCAGGCTGTGAAGGCTTCAAAAGGACACCAGCAAGGGAGGGAAATCATAAATATGATGATTTAATGTCTGCCTGAGTGTCCTCTGGGTTTGTCTGGTGTGGCTGATGATTACTCGATCGCTGTTTCTTTGGTAGCATCTTGTAGCTCCTGCAGGCTGGTGCTGAAGTGAGCTCTCATCTAACAGAAACTTGTTCTGGTGGCTTTCTCTTTGCAGTATAAGCACAAAAACCCATACCTGGAGAAGATTGATGGTTTCCGTGGCTACTACTACCGGTGGTTAAAGGTTATGGCTGGAGAGGAGACCCCCCACCCCTGGGCCAAGTACAGGACAGCAAAGCCTGGGGGGCAGGACAGCGAGGCAGAGGCTGTGCAGGAAAAGGGAGCAGGATGCTGAAGTTTCAAGTTCTTCCAGCACAAGGAAGATGCATGACTTGCTTCTTTAAATTGGCTTGTAGTAAAGCTGCTTTGTGTATCCCCAACCCCCAGTTCTTGCAATAGTTAAATAATTAAATATTTCCTTTTGTTTTAAGGAGGAGCAAATACATATGCAGTGAATTTCCTTCAACTGCTGAGGATTAGATGGGCTGTAGTTTAGCAAACCCTGTGCAAAACAAGGAAGAAGCAAAATCAGATGTAACAGGGGTTTAGCTCAGTGCTGGTTTTGTCTGTGTCCTGTCACTTCACATGTGACCTCTAAGTCTCTAGACTGCTGGCATTCCTGAAGGGATCTGTGCATTAATTCCAGGTTACAGACCTCAGCAGAGAATTCCAGTGAAATGCAGCTTCCATCTGCACGTGATCAGGGAAGAACTCAAGAATGTACATTAGGGAACTATTTCCTTTCCACACAGCCTTTTAAATGGACTTGGTTGAGGAAAAAACGCAGAGCAGCTCACTGTGCAGAGCAACCTTCAAGCACCCAGAACACATCCAACAGGAGAAGAGGGGCACAGCAATGTTTCACCAGAAGATCACACCACTCTCTCAGGAAGGCAAGCTTTATTTTAAAATAAATGGCTACACAAAACCCTACTCCAAAGCACCCCCCATTTATGCATGATCCAGGTGATCATGCTGATGCTTTAATTTAATACAGAAATAGCCCATCACAGAAAATGGCTGTAATTGCACTCATAGTCCATTGAGGAGGATGTCCCTCAGAGTTCAAAAAACAAGTTTGGTGGCAAAAGGCTTCACCCAGAGCAGCCTCTGCATCCACAGTGAGTGCACTCAATGATTCTGCCCTGAAAAACAAACATGAGGAGGGTGTTACAGCCAAGCCACAGCCAGAGCAGCAGGTTCAGACCTCCAGGCAGGGAATGGTTCTGGGTGGGAAGGGTTTCCACAGTCTGGTGTTATTTCCCATACTTTTAACAACCTTACATGAATGCCAGAGCTGACAGTAACTCCAGCACCAGCTGGACACCAATTCTACCAGCAAAGGCAGAGGCAATGACCAGGAAGAGCAGCACTACCCCCTCTGCTGTCCCTGAGCTGGGAGAAGTCAGAACAACTCCTGCAGGGCAGAGGAACAAGCTGGAGACTCACCACTTCCAGCTTGCTTTTGGGGACCCTGCAGATGCAGTTGGTGCCAAAGTTGGTGTCCCGAGTCTGGATGCAGCGCAGGCAGCAGAGGTTCTCATAGCCCTGCTTCTTCCACTTGGCAATCAGGTTTTTGTCAGCATAGCCCTCCTTGATGCAGTACTCATAGAGCTCTGAGGAGAAGCAGACAGTCACAAGTTACCAGCTGTAGTAACCAGCAGGTAAAGCTGCAAGGCCTTCCCTCCACCCTCCTTCCCCAGAAACCTGATCCCACCAGTTCCCAGTTCAGTTCACAGGTGAACACCTCACTCACTCCAGTTTGGCCCTGCCCTCCTCACCTCTGCTGATTGCTTTCCTCTTGTAGAAGAGATCAAAGATGTAACGTGTTTTCTGGTGGTGGATCCTGAAGATAGGCCAGAGGGACTCCACTTTCCTCTTCCCTTCGTGTGGCTCTGTCTCAGCTGGGAGGGAACACAAACACTGGATGCAGTGAACTGTTCCAAGAACGTTCATAACTTTTAATACACGGCAAGGATAAAACTGAGATTAATGGGAGGAGACTCAAATGAGAGAGACTTGACCTGCAACAGCTCCTTTAGGATTCAAAACCAGTGGTAATGGGATGACATGACCCACACTGGGATCAGGGCTGACTTCATCCCCACAGGAACTACCAAACACCCATAGAGCTTCATCCCTCAACCAGCTGTAACCAAACCTCTGTGCTCCATAACCCCAAAATCAGGGACCAGCATGGCCCAGGATCAACCTGCAGCACCACTGGAGGCACAGACACAAAAAAGGTTCCTCTGTATCCATGAAGCAGCTCTTGTGAGCTTGTTTTGGGGTCCCATCCCTGAGAACACCCACTCACCTTCTCTCATCTTCTGGTCCAGCTCGTCCAGCGTGGGCTCGATCAGCTCCCAGCCATCTGGGGGAGGCTTCCTGCTCCTCTTCACTTTGGGCATTGCCTGGGCAACGAGAGGGCCAAAGGGCGAGGGGAACTGCCAGCACTCCCTCAGAATCACTGGGAAAACGGAAGAAAATCAACTGTCAGACATATTTCTCCTAAGGTCTCTGTGCCCCCTTCCCGTTCTCCACTAAGGATAAAAATGAGCTTTACGGAGCTCGTGAAAAGCTCTGTGACTGCCTCACAGTAAGTCAGTTTTTCTCCTCAGCAAAGCGCGGCAGCCACTCCTTCTCCGAGCTGACAACTCCGGTCAGATCCCGGTGATGGAGAGGCCGCCGGCCCGGCCCGGCCCGAGCCCGACAGCCCCACAGCGGAACCCGGAGCTGGCGGGCTGAGGGGAGGCCGCAGGTCCGGGTGCCGATTCCTGTGAGGACCCCGGTCCCTGTCTCTGATTCCGGCTCCTGTCCCTGATCCTGATCCTGATCCCGGTCCCGGTCCCGCTCACCGCCGTTCCCGTCGCGCCGCCGCCGTCACCCGGGGTCCTCTGCAGCCGCCCCGCCCGTGGCCGCGCTCCTTGGGCTGCCCCGCGCGCTGCCTGAGCAAAGCGCTCCCCGCCGCCCGCGCCGCCGCCCCGAGAGAGGCGAGAGCCTTCGGGGGAACCGGCCCCGCTCCGCTGCCCCGGCGGGAGCACCGGCAGGGCGGCGCGGGCAGCGCTGCGGCGGCGCTCGGGCAGCCCAGCGCGGGGGCCTGCGCTGGGGGCGGTTCCGGTTCCGGTTCCGGGCGCCGCTCGGGCCGGGGGGGCCGCGCCGCCATCGCCGCGATGCCGAAAGGTGGTGGGGGCCGGGCCGGGCCGGGCGTGCCCTGCGGGGAGCGGCGGCGGGGGGAACACGGGACACGGGAGAGGAGGGGGCTGAGGGGTGTGTGCGCCGCCTGGCCCCGGCGCGGGCAGGGCTCGTGTTCGCCCCCGGCTGTGGACATGCCGCGGCGGCTCCGTTCTCCCGCTCTCCCGGCCTTGGCGGAGCCTGCGGGGGTCCCTTTCCCGGTCCCCGCGCTGCCCCCGCGGCTGTGTTTGCGCTCTGGGGAGGGGTCTCGGGTTCCCTTTCCCCGTTCTCGGGGGCTCCGGGGCCGCCTCGCCGCGTTCCCCCGCCCCTCACGGCGCCGGGCCCGTTCTGAGCTCCCCGAAGCGCCGCGGCGGCGGCAGCAGCAGCCCCTGGGGGTGCCCGCGGCTCCGGGCTGGGCTCCATGTGCTTGGACGGGAACCGCGCCCGCTCCCCTGGCTCGGGGCTCACGGAGCTCGGGGAGGGGGAGCAGCCCCGCCGGGGGTACCGGGGGCTGGCGGCCATCCCGGGACGGGGTTCGGGGGCTCCAAAGGCGCCTCTTTGATGATGCCGCGGTTTGGCTGCTGCGGAGCGGGCAGGGACTTGCTCCTGGTGTGATTCAGGAGCGGGGATGGGGCACGGCCGGGCTGGATCCACCCAGAACCTTCTCCTCATGCACCATCCGCATAATTGGCTCTCGCAAATCCCGGTCACACACGTTAAAAACCAGCCTGCATCGTTCCTCTCCCTGCAGTTTGCTCTGCTTTGTTTCATCAGCAGTTCCCAGCCTTTAGCACCAAACTGATTCTTGCTTAGGATTTATTGAATCACTCGTTTTGGGTCCATTTGCAGAGTGATGGGAGATGGGGCTGAAGCTTTCACATGGTTTTTGTGAAGGCAAAGAACCACGGCAGGTTATAACCCCATTTCTCTTATTTAAATGCCTGTAACTCAGGATTTCCTACTCTTTAGTTCATTGTACAGATTTCAATGTTTGATTCAAACCTTTTGCTTTTTGGAAGAAGAGGGGCTTTGGTCATTTTCCTCCAAGTCAGTGGGAATTGTTGGATTGTAGAAGAGTGGATTTTGGCACTCACTGTTTAATATAAAAGGGAGGGGTATAAAGAAGCTAATAATAAATTTTTTACAGGATTATTTCCAATTAATTTCCTATCCCCCCCCCCCCCAATACTTCGATTTTAAAAAGAAGAGATTCCGTCAGTATCATTCCATTTTCTTCCATCTAATTTTCTTAATTAGTCTGTTTGAAGCTGAAGACAAATGTGTTTGAACGTGGGCCTGCCTGGGCACCACTGGGCTTTGCTGCAGGTGAAATCTGCAGGTGATTCTACTTTAAAAGTGCTTCACAGAGGTGGAAAAGAAGCATTATCCCTGTTTTTGCTCAGTGGTGTTGGACCAACTCCCCGTGTCTGATGTGAGGTTTTGATCTCCCTGTGGGAGCAGAGCCCCATCCCTGCTCTGTGCTGAGCTCTCGTGGGCCTCATTCTTCCATTTGCTTCTTTTTAGGCTTTTAATGTAAAATAATTTCTCTTTAGTTGCTTCTCCCCCCTTATCAGCAGTGTTTATTTGCAGTTATGGCAGTTTGTGTTCCTTGGTCCTGAGCCCAGTGTGGAATTCTGGCACGGCTGGGTGAGGAGCCCTGGCCAGGCTGGGAGCACAGTTTGGGTATTTGGGGTTGGTGTGTCACAGATGTCACTGCTGTTCCCTGGGGGTGATGCCATGAACTCAGGGCAGTGAGGTCCTGTGTCCCCAGGAGCATTCCCATGGCAAATCTCCTTCCAGAGGGTGTCAGTGCTCCCACGAGAGAGGGCTGGGAGCAGACAAACAGAAAACTCCTCTCTGCCTGCACCAAAGCTTTGGTCGTGCTCCCCAGCTGAACCCAGGGACAAGAATTTGGTCTCTGCACTTCCCCATCTTTTGGAAAAACATCTCAGGAGTTTCTGTAAAGCTTCACAGTCGGGTTTTGGGGCAGAACTAAGGCATTGTGAGAGTTTGTCTGTGCTGAGCCAGGAGAATTGGTCAGGAAATGTTGGATCTCTCAGGCTCCCAGTGCCTCCCAGTCCAACAGAGAGCAGATCTCCCATGGATTCCACACAGTGCCAGGGAGGGAGGGATGGATGATCCCTCACCCCTTCCCATCCCTGTAAGGTTCCCATGTCCTTGGCAGGTGAAATGGGGAGGATGAGGGAGATCCAGAGTTTCCTGCTCCTCCCATGGCACTCCAGGCCTGCTGCAGTGGCAGAGCTGCCCTGCCAGGGTTGTTTGCTTTGTGCCAGACTCCCTCACTCAGGGCTGGGGGTTGGCTCTATCCAAATTGCTTCCCAGTTCTTTGGGTTGGAATAATATAACCAGAGCAGTGGCTTGAGGGGAGCATTAATGGCTTCAGCAGTTCATTAATCAACAGAATTTGGAACTTGGGGCAGTGCCAGCCACACTGACTCCCCTTCTTGGTTCCTAGAGCTTGTTTTTATTTTTCCTAATAAAGCAGTAAAACTGGAGGCTCCTTTTAGGACTTCTTCAGCTCCCATTGTAATTCCCAAAGCCTTTGTCCAATTAGCGTCCTATTTTTTCGTGGCACAGTGGGAGTGGTTAAGGAGCCAAGCTTGTTGGAATGTTGGTTGTAACCACAGGAGCACACTGTGATTCCTCCTGTGCAGGAAACTGGGGTCTGCTGTGGGACTGAGCATCCCCTCCCAGCCTGGGAAGGGAATTGGAGAGGCCATGAGCACAGGCAGGGAAGGGTGATACCAATAATCCCAATTCTCTGTGCATCTCACCCAAAAATCTTGGAGCATTTTGCCAAGTTCACTGAGGGGTTTTGTTTAGGGTCTATCAGAGGAGCTATTTTGGTTTGTCCTGTCCACACCTAAAATCCAGAGAGTGCTGCAGGAGGAGCAGACCTTTCTGGAAGTTGCCACTAAACCATTTGTTATTTTTATTGTTTTGTGCAGGTAGAAAAGGAGGCCACAAAGGCCGGGCAAGGCAGTACACGAGTCCTGAGGAGATCGATGCCCAGCTCCAAGCAGAAAAGCAAAAGGCAAGGGTATGTGTTTGCTCCTTTGTGTTCTTTCTATCCTAATTCCTGCCTTATCCAGCCTGGTTTTCACTGCTCAGGAGCAATGGCAGCTTAGCCAAGTGCTGCAGATCATTCCAGCAGCGATCACAGCATGGATCCCAAATGTCTCCAGCTGGGGAGAATCCAGGGGTCACCCAGTCTGGTTCCTGAGGCCTGGGAGACCACCCAGGGCAGCACTGGAAGGTTGAAGGACAGGGAGCTGATTACACAGCAGCTCTGGAGGTCTTTTCTCTCCATATTTTATCATTTGAGTCTCCAGTGTCAGCTCATTTTTATCCATGTTCTGCAGCTTGGCTTTGGAGAGCAAGGGCCACATCTTGACATGTTACTGAATATTGAAATGATATTTGCCTCTTTCTATCATAGATCTATGGACCAAACTCCTTTGACTTCTTCCTGGACACAAGATTTTCTTGTTTGCCTCTGCTTTGTAGGAGAGATAAGAGTTTTGTGTGTGGGGCCTCCTTTTGGTGTGTTTCTGTGCCCTAGCATGGGACTGTAACAGCTCCCCCCACTTCCCCCATGAGCTGACTGCTGTCATAAAACCCTTGGCTGCATTTTGGGGCTCTTGCTCTCTTTATTCCCAACTTATCACAGCTCTGGTGACACTCTGATATTTTCTGTGACTTTCTGGAAGTGCTGCCTCAGCCCAAATACACAATTTCAGCTGAGGCCTCACAGCACTGACCGCAGGAGGATAATTACACCCCATGAAGGAAATCCTGGTGAATACCTCTGAGATGACTCTCTCAAGCAGTTCTGAGCCATAGTGTTGAGTCCTTTTTAATGTTTTGCCCAGCTGGAAACTCGAGATGATTGTTTGGTTTGCTGCTTAGCCACATATTCCAGCTTCATGTTGGATTTCTTCTTCCAAACTCTAACTCCTCTGGGTTAGTTTTTGATTCCACCTTCTTGGTTTCATGCCATATTTCCAAATTCTGAAACCACTGATGAGTCTCATCCTGTTTTCCAAGATAATTCCAACTCCTACCAGTGTGATGTCATTCACAAACTGTGTAAGTGTTCTCTGCTTCCATGTTGTTTAATAAAAATGCTGACTGGAAGTGGAACAGAAAAGCAGGACCCACTTGAAATGTGTGTCTTGTTTCACAGCAAACCAGAGAACTGCTCTTTGAGAAGGATTTATTTTTTGGGATAATCCATATCACATAGTGATGGTTACATCTAACACTGATACATTAAGGAAAGCTTTAAAAACCCCCTACAATTAACAAAATTACTCCTCTTACTGTTCCTTGCTCATCCACTTTGCTGGTTGTTTGATGAGAGGTGTTGGTAGTGTAAAACAAGCTGTTCACACCCATGCTGGCTCTTCTTATGATTCAGAAATTAATTCCCAGGTTCTGACTGGTGGAAGCTGTGCTGAAAAGGCTGTAATTCATTGGATAATAATGTTCAGGTTGGTGGTTGTCCATTTTCTCCTCTAGGTGTTTTTATTTATCCACACCCAGGATAAGCTCTAAGCTGCATCCATGTAGTTTCCAGTCTCTGAGGTAGTGTGCACTGGAAACCCAGGCCAAAACTCTTCTGGAGAGCTTTGATTTGATGAAAATAAAGTGCCAGTGGTGTCTTTCACAGTAATTTTCCTTTTAGAGGGAGCAGCAGAATTGTTTGGAGGTGGTGCTGTTGCTGAGGAGGAGCCCTCATTCTGTGACAGCCAGAGCCCCTTGGTGGCACAAGGCCACATCAGGAGCACCAGTGCTCAGAGCTGGCTCATTCCTCCAAAATCTCATTTAAGAGCTGGGTTTGGGGTTTTTAGTGACATTAATTTCCTCTGATTTTGTAGGAAGAGGAGGAGCAAGAAGAAGGAGGAGAAGGAGCAACAGGGGACCCTAAAAAGGAGAAGAAGTCTTTAGATTCAGATGAGAGTGATGAAGATGATGAGGATTATCAGGTACTGCACCTCAGGGCACTTAATGCTTGGCTTGAGGGGGAGATGCACACTCTGGATTCTGAGCAGAGCTACCTAGAGTGCATTTTTTATAGAACTACTTTGAGAAGCCAAAAAACACTCACTTGATAGCATTTTGCCCTCAGAATGAGAACTTGTGAACATTTACAAATGAAATACAAAGGCAACAAGATATTTAAAAAGGCTGAAGGTGCCTTGATTCATAAATGGTTTTTCTGGCTTGTAGTCAAATCTTGCCTTGTGCTTTTGGGGTGCTTTTGGGGTGTGTTTGGGGAGCTCTGGTACAACCAGAGCTGCATTGAGAGCTCCTCAAGCTCCCTCTTGTTCTTGACCCGCAGCAAAAGCGCAAAGGAGTGGAGGGGTTGATAGACATAGAGAACCCCAACCGTGTCATTCAGACAACCAAAAAAGTCACTCAGCTGGACCTGGATGGACCCAAGGAGCTCTCACGACGAGAGAGGTGAGTGCTCCCTGCTCACCCTGCAATTTCACCCTGGAATTTGATGCAGGGAGGTGTTTCCCTTGCTCTGTGGCAGTGTTGCAAGGAGGCCCTTAAAAGTGTGTTATTGCCTAAAGCAGGCACTGAGCAGCAGCAGACTGAGCTCACTGTGCTTCAAAATGTGCTTCCTTAGAAGCTTCACAGGAGTTGTTGCTGTGGCTATCCTGGAGCCAGGCAGCCTGCCCTGGAGCTCTGAGAGAAAGGGATTTAGGACATTCCTTTCCTCCAGTTTTATGCCAAAAATCAGACCTAACTGAAACCCTGAAATCATACTGCTGTGAAAGGGATTTAGGCCATTCCTTTCCTGCAGTTTTATGGCCAAAAATCAGAACAGAAATCCATAACCAGAGGTCACTTTGGATCCACTTTAATCCTGCTGCAGAAGGTGCTCTAGTGACTGGTAGCATTTTCCCAGATTCCAGGTATTGTGGTGAAATTTTTATCTGGCCAGATTAATTACCTGAAAACCTAAGTTTAATCTTCTAGTTTCATTTAGCAATGGTGAGGTTTGGAAGGGAAGGTTTAATCTTTTTTTATTTGGGATAGATTGCTTCAGCAGAAGGACACCTTTGAGGGTAAGGCAGGGAAAAACATGTCACAGTTCTTGTGATGTGGGGCTAATTCTTTTGACCTCCTTGTGTTTTTATAGAACTACTTTTAGAAGCCAAAAAACACTCACTTGACAGCATTTTGCCCTCAGAATGAGAACTTGTGAACATTTACAAATGATTTTTTCTAAAATTATTATTTCTACCTTCCTTACTTAGCTGAAGGAAGGTAGATATAATCTCTCACCTCACCCCTGCTCAAACCCTGCAAATAGACAGAACCTGTGCTTGAAAACTGGTAAAGGACCCCCAGTTTTGGGGTTTTTCCTGGTTGGAAAGCCCCATTCTGCCTGTTCCTGTGGGCTTGCCTGGATACTCTGGTGACTGGTGTGTTTCCTTTGGGCAGAGAGGAAATAGAGAAGCAAAAGGCAAAAGAAAGATACATGAAAATGCACCTAGCTGGGAAAACAGAGCAAGCCAAGGCAGACCTTGCCCGATTAGCCATCATTCGGAAGCAAAGGGAAGAAGCTGCCAGGAAGAAAGAAGAAGAAAGAAAAGGTTAGAGAATAATTAATCATTATCTCCTGCCTTTCCAGGAGGCACACATCCCTCCTCTGAGCCTGTGTGGTGTTGCTGAGTGTCATCAACTCCCCTCAGCAAAGCCAGGCTCAGCTGTTGCCCTCTCATAAAGTTCTTGCTTTATGAACAAGAGTTTGGACACTGGAGCAGGGAAAGAGAGAAGGGAATTGCCCTTGATATCCATCTCATCCCCTGCCTCCCAGGCAGTGCTGGCTCCAGTTTGGGGGTTTAGCAGGCTCCTTGTGCTGGGTGATTTATCTGCTTTGCATGTGGGGATCTGAACTGCCCAGGAGTTCCCAGCAGTCTGAACACGGCTCCTTGGTGGCTTCCACAGAGAAATTTGGGCATCAGGGGGATTTGTGAACACCTGGAGAGAGCCCAGGGATAGAAGGGAACATCAAGAGGGGCTGTGCCTCTTACTCTGAGAAATTGTTGGGAAGGGTGGGATTTTTCCATGACCCAGCTGGCAGGATTCAAATCCCTGGGGCTGCCAAAACTCCCCCAGTCCCTGATGTGCACCATGAAATGATGAAACCCTGTTTGTTGTTCTCCTCCCCAGCAAAAGACGAAGCGGCCATGGCAGGTAAAAGACTGCAGTCACTATCCCTTAACAAGTAAGCCCAGGCCATGCAAGAGGAGGAAACACCAGGGAACTGTGCCTGGTCCTGCCAGGAGCTCTGCCTTCCATCGCTGCCACGCAGGGCACCCTGCAGCATTGACCTCACCACCTCCAAGAGACACTGGCGATGTGTTTGTCCTCATCCTGGCACAGATTTCCATTTGGGGTTAGGGGCAGCTGCTCTCTGCAGTGCAGAGCTGTGCTGGACAGCAATTCCCTGTAACAGTTTGGAAACATGAATGTTTTTGCTGTTTTTAGGATCAAGAACTCGTAGACGGTGGGAGGGGGGCAGGGTGGGAGGGAGCTGTGTGGGAGGGGAGGTGCTTCAAGTACTAGATTGCAAGAAAAATAGATTGTGGGGTCGTTTGGGGGTGGGGCATGGGGTGGGGAACTGACTTGGTATGAAATCCCAAAGGATAATGTATCTGAGGAATCCAGTTGGCAAAGAGCCCATCAAATTTTGCTGCAGGGTGTTGCAGTATAAGCTGGGAGCCTGACTTCATGGACATCTGGAGTGCCGTTCCTTCCTGGATTCATCCCTCCTTTCTTGCAGCCAGTCTCCCCTTTTCCCTCCTCTTCATTTTCTTTTTCTCCTTATTAGGGATAGTGCCAGTTTTTAACCACATCATCCTTTGTTTAAAGGAGAAAAAACAAACAACATTTATTGTGTCAGATCCAGATGGAGAAAAAAAAAAAACCAAAAAGCAAAAAAAAAACTTGATCAAGTTTAAAAACCACCAAGAGAACTTGTATATTTGGCTGATTAAACTGTAAGTTATCAGAACTGCTGTGGCCTCGTGTGTGTGTGAAGGGCACAGCTGGGGGGTCCTGGGGGAGGCTCAGCTGCACTTGGGGGCTGCTGGTTGTGATGTGGGGTTTGGCTCTGGGTCAGGAGCTCCCTCAGCTCACACAGCCTGAGGGAAAAAGCTTTTCCTGCTGATTCTGATGGATGTCTTGCACAATCTGTTTACCACGGTGGAGGAAACAATTACCCTCAGGCCGTGTCTGGCCTGCTCCCCTGTCAGCAGGGCGGCCACTGCACTGCCAGCTCCTCTCAGATGTCTCTGGAGGGGGCAGCTCCAGCCTGCTGTGCCCCAGGGGCTTTGGGAGCCCTGCTGCCAGCCTGTTCAGGGACACCAGTGCTTCCCAGACTTCCCAGAGGCTGGACATCCAGCCCCAGGGCTTGGAGCACTGGAAGTCACTGGGAGAGGGGTTGCAGCTGTGGAGATGAAGGGTGACAAACAAAGGATTTGTTCTCGTGCTTGGCTGCAGGGACTTGGGCACAGGGGTGTGACACAGGATGTGCCCCAGGGGCTGTCACCGTGAGCTGCTGGCTCAGAGCTCAGACCAAGCCAAGGTTTGGGGTAGGAAATGCTCCCAGGGAGCTGTGGAAAATGAGAAGTGCTGGCGGAGAGGTGCCTGTGCTGTCAGCTCCAGGAGGGAGGAGCTGGTGTGGTGGGGACAGCCTGACATGGGACAGTGGGTGAGCCTTGGAGCACAGGGAGGTGGATGGGGCAGGACAGGGGGAGGTTTTGGGCTTGTGCTGAGATGGAGCAGGGCAGGAGCCACAGGGGACAGGGTTGAGGATTCTGAACACATGGAAAGGGGTGGGAAAATCTTCTCCAAGTAACAGCTCCCACTGACTGAGGGCTGGAGCAGAACTCAAATGTCATTGTCCCTCTGGCAGCCAGTGCTCCCTCCCCAGGCCACGGGAAACTGCAGGAGTAGCTGGGCAGCCCAAGGTCTCTGAGCTGGCTCCAGGTTTGGGAATTGCCCACCTGCCAGGATTTTACCAGGGAACTCAGAGAATGACAAACCTGTGCTCCCTGGCCACTTCCATCCTCTGCCCTCCGTTTTTCCTAACACCAATCCTGGTTTGAAATGGTGCTGAAGCAGGGAACAGAAAAGTGACATTCCCCTTCTCCCCACAATCCCAATTCCCCCTCAGCACTGGTGGCAGAAACGATGTGACCACCTGTGGCACAGCACTGTGCTCTGCCCTGATCACACCTGTGTTTGGACTGAACTTGTTCTAAAAAAGTGCAAAAAAACCCCATTTTGATTTATTCAGGAAAATCCTTTATTTGCTATTTCTCCAAGCAATGTATGACCAGCACCGGGAAGGATGGTAACAAAAATAGTAAGAAAAATGGGGTTTTTTGTCTGGAAACAGCCACCAGGGCTGGCTGGCAGCAGGGACAGGCACTGGTGGCGTTGTGGCACAGGGTGGGGTGGCAGAGGGCAGCAGGCAGGGACAGAGCAGGGGCAGCTGGAAGCTGGGATGCCCTTCCCAGGCGGCTCCTTCATTTGATCTTGAGATCCTTCAGCGCTGACTCCAGGCTCTGAAATGAAACAGGAAATGAAACAGGAGGGTTTTCAGCAGTTCATGGCCTCCCAAAGAAACTGGAGGTGGCTGGGGAGCTGGAAGGGGGAACTGGGCTGGTTCAGTGCTGGTACTCCCAGCCTGAGGGGTCCATGGGGATTCCTTACCTTGACATCCCAGATGCTCATGCCCCCGTCCATCCCCGTGGTACAGAACTGGGAGCACTTGTCCTTCCCACCAGTCAGCACTGAGATCTGGCTGTGGGTGCAAAGAGGGAGCAGGAATCAGTGCCAGGGCTGAGCCCTTAGGGGTGGGAATGGGGCTGGACCCTTTCATCTCCCCCACAGTGCAGGAAGGCACGGAGGATAGACAGGGATGCTTGGAGACACCCAGGGATGCTCCAAGGATGCTCCAGGACCATCCCAGCTTTTGGGACTACACCTCTCTACCTCCCCTTCCCACATTCAAGGATTCTTTGGGGATACCCTGGGAAACTCAGGGACACCCAGGGCTGTCTCAGCTCCTGGTGCTGGAGCCTCAGTCTCTCCCTCCCTCTTGCTGGGATGCCCAGGGACATTCTGGAGATATCCAAGGATGCTCCAGGGCTGGACAGCAGCACACCCAGGGGATGCTCAGGGACCATCAACCCCCGAGCCTGGCCAGCCCCCACCTGATGCTGTTCTTGTGCAGGGTGTCCAGGCTGGCATTGGCCGTGTCCGAGCTCGCTTTCTTGTCCAGGTTCTGGAAGCGCTCGCGGGCGGTGAGGCCGCGCTGGGAGCTCTGCTTGGGGACATCCAGCTTCCCCCCGAAGGTCAGGGTGCCCTGGCTCTCCTCGTAGGTGAACAGCATCGGGCAGCAGTCGTGGCCCTGGGGAACGAACGTGCCCTGCTCAGCCCCCCCCGGCCGGCTCCAGCCGCGGCTCCCAGCCCGTGTCCCTGCCCGCACTCACCGCGGCCACCAGGCTGAGCTCGGTGATGAAGGTGACAGCCAGCAGGGGCAGCGTCTCGGTGCACAGGGAGGCAACGCTGCCAGGGGTGAAACACCAGCTGAGCTTCAGCCTCAGTGCTGAGGCTGGCACAGCTCATCACACGGGTGGAACCCACGAGGGGAGACATCACCTCCTTCACCCCCGGTGATCTGGGGACGTTCCAGGGGTGTCCCAGGTCCTGAGCCCTCTATGTCCTACACCCATGTACAGGGATGCTCAGGGGATACCCAGGCATGGCCAGAGATACTCCAGGGATGCTCAGGGATGGCCATAGATACTCAGGGATACCCAGGGCTGCTCCAGGGCTATTTCCAACTCCTGAGGCTGAACCCCTCTACCTCCCCCACCCAAGTACAGAGATGCTCAGGGGGTACTCATAGATGCCCAGGGATGTTCTAGGGCTAACCCAGCTCCTGAGGCTGAACCCTTCCATCTCCCCCACCCACATGCAGGAACATTCTGGGATTGCTCTTGGCCCAGCCCAACCCAGATACCTCCATGCCCATGTTGGTTGGGGGGTCAAGCCCTGCTGCCCGCCCAGCACAGCCTCCCCCAGTCCCCCCTCCTGTCCCCAGCCCTGCTTACGCCATCTTCTTGCCAGCATCAGCGAGGCACAGGGTGCTGTCGTGGCTGACCCAGGCCACGCGGGAGCCGCTGGCCGAGAAGCTCACGCTGTGCACCCACCCACAGCTGCTGCTCGACTCGAACATCAGCTCCCCAAAGGGCATCTTGGAGCCCCAGGGTGTGGGGCTGGGCCGCTCCTCCACCTCCTTGATGTAGGCTGAGAAGATCCTGGGAGGGGGAGAGCCTTGCATGTGTTCCTGGATGCAGGATCTGTGCCACCCTCATCCCTGCCCCTTGCCTCAATTGTGTGACTCAGTTTCCCTGGCAGAGCCTGGGGGGTGTCCCCATGGGTGCTGTACCCTGGAATAGTCCCAACACCTCCCTGCATCTCCCCTGTGCTCCATTCCCTGTTCCAAACAGCACCTGGGATGAAGCCTGCCCCCCAACCCATCCTTGGGGATTCCTCTGCATTGGGCCCCCCTGTCCCCAGCCCCTGCTCCTCACCTGCACTTGAAGTCACAGGAGCCAGCAGCCAGGAGGACATTGTTGGGGTGCCAGTCCAGGCTGAGCACAGTCGAGCGGATGGGCTTCTTGATGTGCTTGCACACCCACCTGTGTGCAGAGGGGGTGGCAGCAGAGGGGCAGCATCACCATCCCCAGAGCACCCCTGGGATTCTGGGGAGCTGCCTGGTGTTGGTCAGGGCTCCAAGTGCACCAGTAGCAGCTTGGGCATGGGGAGTCCATCCCTCCATTTCCCCGTCTCCACCTCCAGCTCCTCCAGTCTCTTATTTCCCAATCCATCTCCCATCCATCCATCCCCCATCCATCCATCCATCCATCCATCCATCCATCCATCCATCCATCCATCCATCCATCCATCCCCCATCCATCCATCCCCCATCCATCCATCCATCCATCCACCCATCCATCCATCCATCCATCCACCCATCCATCCATCCATCCATCCCCCATCCATCCATCCATCTCCCTCCCCTCCATCCATCCATCCATCCATCCATCCACCCATCCATCCATCCACCCATCCATCCATCCATCCACCCATCCATCCACCCTGCTCTTTCCCCCTCAGAGCCTCACCAGTCATTCTCCTGCTCGAAGTAGCAGATGGAGATGAGGCGGGAGCCGCTGCCCACAGCGAATTTGTTCTCCCTGGGGGACCACTTGACGCAGCGGGCGGCGCGGTTGATCCTGAGGATCACCAGGGTGGGCTTCCAGACGTTGCCCTTGAGGGTCCACACGTAGGCGTTGCGGTCGGTCCCGCACGTCACCAGCCGGTTGCTCTCGGGGGCCCAGTCGATGCCTGGAAGGCAGAGGGGGATGATGGTGGCCCAGGGTGGCCCAGGGAGCCTCAGGAATGGCAGTGGTGGCACTCAGGGCTGGGGGTGTCTG